GACATTGAGAAAAATGCCAGGCAGTGAGACACCAGAGTCTAATCATCTGCTACAGATTTAGAGTATGATGAGATGTTAATTTATAGCACTCTTTCCCTTCTATCCTTCCCCCAGGCAGTGCTCTTCCAGTGACAGCCTACGATAAGAACGGGTTCAGGATCCTCCTACACTTTGCCCAGGAGTGCCCACCTGGGAGATCGGATGTGCTGGTCGTGGTTGTGTCGATGTTGAACACAGCACCGCTCCCTATTAAAAATATTATACTGCAGGCAGCAGTACCAAAGGTAGGGACGTTGGGATGACCCTGAGAAACAGAGATGCTTTTGGGAAAGCCTACAGAGCCAGGAGATGTCTGAGGTTCCTGACCTCATGCCCATGACACTCCCCCTCTGTCTAGTCTCAGACCCCTGCTCCTTCAGTTTCCAAAACGTAGGGTGTAATTGTTATTAGATTTAAACCACAGCTTCCTGGCAATGAGCTTGATTAGACTGCAGGATAATGTGCCAAACAGAGAATTCTAAAACCCATTGAATGGGACATTTGAAACTAAACTGGATGACTGCTAAAACAATGTACAATAATCCTGCCCTGGCCAGGAGATGGACTGGAAGATCTAATAGGCCTATTGCATTTCTCACTTCTCAGATTGCATCAGGCAGTGGTCCCACCTTCCCCACTGAAGCTGCAAGGTGTCATTAAGCAGAATTATAACAAACGCAGAACATCTTAAAAGCTGTTTTTCTGCAGCGTAGACTTGTAAAACAAATAGGCAAGCTGAAAGACAGGGAGAAGGTACAAACTGTATCTAAGAGCATGAAGTGAGTTTCAGGGACTAGTGCTGTTTTGCATTGAGCCATGGAAGGCTTTCTTGATAGGCTTTGTTAAATCTTTTCCAGTCTAATGTTGGATGATTGATTCTACTTGTGGAAGACAGCATAGAGCTTGGATCTAGTCTGTCTTCACCAACTAAAGAATCTCTTCTGAAATCTAGCTGGTGAGAAACCAGTGCTAGAGAGGTGCTGTTCCGGTTTGCCTGGTATTGGTTTATCTTGCCTGTCATAGTTTGCGTCACAGAGACTAGCCTTACCTCGGTTTGTCACTCCTTCCACATGGATATACACTCAATTGTGCACTTCAGATGTGCAGCACAACTCTCCCTGTCTGTGCATAGATTCCTCACTATCCTCAGTCAAGTCATGTCACCGGAGGTTTCCTGTGTTTTTTCATTTGCAGTCCATGAAAGTGAAGTTGCAGCCCCCCTCGGGCACGGAACTGTCTCCATTCAACCCCATCCAGCCACCAGCTGCCATCACTCAAGTCATGCTGTTGGCAAACCCCACCAAGGTAAGAAGTTTTGTCTTTTTGCTGTGATTTGAATACCACAGTGAGTTTAGACTAACTGTATGAACAGCCTCGTCTAAATTCTGGAGCAGTATCCCGAGGGAGGTTAGTCATTGCAGGTGGAGTATATTCACACTCCAGAAGTGTTTCATTTCCGGGATGGGGAAAGCCTGACTGGCTCAGGGACAACCTCACTCCGCAACAACCCTAGACAAGCCAGGGGAGATGGGATGAGCATTTGGAGAGCTCTGGGTTGGAAGAATAACCACCATAATGTTCTGCTTCAAGTGAAAACAGGTTGGGCTCCTGCCCAGATCTTCCATCTCCCCGAGTGGGATGTCTAACAGTCAGGAAACCCAAGCTGATCCAGGGTAGTAGAAATACTCTCATCCCACTGAGTCTGTAGCCAGACACAAAGGTTTGAACCACGAGCATCAAGAGAGGTCTCCCCACTTTCCTTTGGGACATTCACTGCGAAGTGTAATGCAAATAATTTAAAAGACAACAGTCAACCCCTTCCTTTCTTATCACATTGGAACTACTTAGCTGCTATATTTTTTCTGGAGCACTTTGCTGTATCTACTGTGTGGTGATCACTGCAGTGGGATGTTCTGTGAAGCTCAAAGTCTACTCAAATAGTGTTTTGATTACTCCAATCATTTGGATGTTTGTTACTTACTGTTCTCAAAGAGTATGGTTCTGTTGGCATTAAGAGCCTCAGCTAAAAGGCATGATAGCCTCAAGAGACAAATATTGTGGGATGTTGGATTTCTGTAAAATAAATAAATAAATAAATCTTGACTTCAGGGAACATTTTGAAATTCCAGATACCCAAGCAAGGACAGATTTCTGTTCCCCCTTTTCATTATCAGCAGGGACTGTGAAGCAGTCAGATTTATCCTTAACCTCTACTACATGCTGCAGCCTTGCTTAGTTTTGAGACTTAAGTTCTCTGAGCTGCACTCACACACGTTTCACAGGATCACTGAAGAGCACCTGAACTCCTAATGCTGGTCAGCATATGTAATGTAGGTCATGCTTTTCTCCTGCTGTTCCATTCAAGAGGGGGCTCCTCATAGCATGTGAAGTAGAGGATAAATAAATCGGCCTGCCTGTGTGTCCAGAAACACTCCATGAACTTAGCTTGACTGCCTCCTCTCCCTGCTGTGTGCATGCATGGAGCTTTTATGGCTTCTACAATACTGTTACAGCGAAGTGTGTAACGTGGAAATAACCCTGGTCGTCTCATTCCACTACTGATTTCACAGTCTTCCTGGGAGGCTGTTTTAGCATCTCCTCTTTCTTCTTTCCTACAGGAAAAAGTGAGACTGAGATACCGATTGACCTTCACTTTGGGAGACCAGCCCAGCACAGAGGTTGGGGAAGTGGATCAGTTTCCCCCGGTAGAACAATGGGGGAATCTATGACCCAGCGAGATTGCCACAGACTCCATGACAGGACCTGGCAGGGATCCCAAAGGGACTGGAATGACTGTGACGTGGAAGGGGCGCACATGCTATCCACTGGTGATGTTTAGCTTTGTTTACATGTCCTGACCACTCTGCTTGTAGCTTTAGTCCAGAATGTCTTACCCCAGGTTGAAGTGGTCCTGGGGCATATATGCCAAGCATGAACTGAGTGGCAGCCGGTAAGACCTTTTGCTGGCTGCTTTTATCTTGGCTTCTGGGTGAACCTGGTTCTATCTTCCACTTTGTTTAAACTTGAAATGATGGTGTTTTGGAACAGAGACCTGTCACCAGAGGGGGATTGGGTTGGCTTACTCCCATGCTGTTCTCCAGAGATGCCTAAAGGCTGGTAGGGTAATGATGTAATGAGTTTCCTCAGTGCAGAGCCCTAATATAGGCCTACCCTAGGGCTTTTATCTCCTGGGTACCAGAACTAGACTCTCTAAGCCTGTTGAGCAATGCCGGCTCAAAGAGGGTACATTTATTTTTTACACTAGAGTGACGCTGCATACGCCCACTCCATTTTCTCTCCCAACAGCCATCCTAAGCAGTCCGTTTAGGCAGATAGTAGGTGTGAGCTGTGTGACACTCCTTTCTCTAACTGATAAGGTTTATTTTATACTCCCAGGTGCCTGTATATGGTATTGCTTCCAGGCAGCTGGGACTACTCTTTGTACACATGTGGCTACACACTGGTTATTCTTCTGACTTCGTCACATTCCGCGGTGTTGAGCAGGGGGAGGTGAGGAGGTAAAACCACCAGGGCTAAAAGGCTCCAGGGGCCCAGGACATAAAGGCAGCAGAGTCTCTGCAATCGCTAATCAGGTGCAGCAACCAAAGCACAGTTAAGAAGATAGGCCTCTCAAGTCCCCTCATGCACGGAGTATTATTATTGTAGTTGAGTACTATGTTCTCTTGAGGTGATTAGGAGTAGGATCTGTAAATACTAGAGCTGTAGAGAAACTACTAAGTAAGCAGACAGATGAAGGGAAGGAAGGACCCACTAGGCTATGATGATGCATGTGTTGGGTGTCTTACCACTTTATCTGTTCCTAGTATTAAGTGGCAAAGTGCAATGGTCTCCCCAGTGGGAAATCTCTATCCTGCCGGACATCAACTTTGTAGTGGGGGTCAACACAAGGAGGTCAGAAGAGCAAGTCCTCTCTATACTTATTAGGAAATGCAGTTGAATAAGGAAAGGTTTGATTCTAGCTGGATGTGGCCCGCCAGGCCATTCTATCCGGCCCATGGGGCCCTTAAAAAAATTTAGAAACTTAATATTTACCTGCCCCTGGCTGCCTGTCATGCAGCCCTCGATGGCTTGCCAAAACTCAGTAAGTGGCCCTCCGCCCAAAATAATTGTCCACCCCTGGAATAGACTGTGCTTTTCAGGGAGGTAAGGTCACTGGGTTTTTCAGTTCCCTAAAGGAAGTGGCGGTGTTTTTCAACAGAAAGGAAGAGGTGGGGAGCAAGAGAGTCCCTTTCTGCTTCTGACAAGGTCCTCACTTGCATTTTAGACACAGTAAGCATAGGGCTTTGCTTAGATCATTTGAGTCTGCCCAGGTGCTGTAGTATATCCTTTAGGAAGCAGGTTTCACTGCTTTAGCTACCTACAAGTGAATCTCACTGTGACTTTGAGGAAATCAGAAGAGCACAAGTGCTTTCTGCAGAATGGCTTAATTCTTACTGTCAACAGCGCTGCAGTGCCCAAGCTGTACAGTCAAAAGGAACGATCCCATCCTCTCGCTGTGTGGAAATGTATTGTTAAAAGCTTTGGAAATTAAATTATTTATGAATGTTACTTGTTCATAGGTTGAGGTTGCAGCTTCATACTGAACCGTCTTATTATAAATACATCTCGAATGCATTTGTTTTGCTGCATGTTAAATAAACTGTTTTCCCTACTCTGCTCTGTGGGCAACCCTTCCTAATGACAGCCTGAGAAGTAAGACAAGACTCAATCCAAGAAGGCAGAGGCAGGCGTCTTCTGGAAGGTGAACACTTCCAGCCTGCGGTTTGGTTTGAAAGGTAGGTGTATGAAGCATTGCCTTTGCTTATATTGAAAGCTGCCTTGCAGTGTTCCAAGCCAATAGAAAGAAAGAACTTTAAGGCCAGTTCTTTGCTGAGGCAAAGGAAACTGCAGGGACCCTATCCAGGGTCTCCTTTGAAATGAGGAGTGAGACCAGCTAGATGCATGTGAAAAAAAAGACATTTACTCTTAGAAACACCATCAAGTTTATGTACAGTATGCAACAGAGGAAGTATAAAAATAATGTGTTGGCCTGATCTCAGGACCCTTCCAACGTGCCCTCTTTCACAATGGCTCGGGCAAGGTTTCGTGCAAATGCAAGTCTCAGCATTTCCACCTTGGTTGTCTCAATGTCGTCATCCTGGAAAGGAGAAGTGTTAGGGAGACAGCGATAAGCACTGACACGGCCCTGGGTGCTGCTTCTCTTAGGTGGCTGTTAAGCAAGGGTTTTTCCCGTGTTCTAAGAGGATCAAACCAGGTTTCCTACATCTTCAGCCCAGCAGACAGGGCAACTCAACCTCTTTCTTCCCCTCCAAAGCTTTTTGTATCTAGCAAACAGTTGCCCATTTGATGTGGGCAAGTGCAGTAGTTTGGTTCCTTATATAAAGTGTGTATCAACCTTTTGCTCTAATTTACAAGTTATTTTTCCACAAGGAAAATGCTTGTAAAGGTAAATGATCACTGAGTACCCCTTACAAAACAGCACAGGGTAAGGGAAACAGACAGGGTTTTGGACAGATAAGGACATGTCAATGCCTCATGATATCCCCTTCCTTGCTGTTTTTCAACCGCTCATGGAAGGTCCTCCAGCCTCAAGATCCTGGACCTTCCCTCAGCAACTAGATCCGTCTCACATACCAATGGATTTGTTATCTGGGTGTCCTCACAATAGGACTTACCTGGAGTTTTTGATTATCCAGCTTTCCTGCTGTCAGGTCTTCCAAGCACCGCATCAGCTCATATGTCTGCTCAGCTGAAAATATTACCTGCAGGACATAGACTGCTTACTGAATGCTCACTGGTTAGCACAGGGAATCCAGTTTGGGGCAGGAGAAGCTGATCAGAAAGAAGAGCATGCCCTTTGCCCTCCCCTGACTCCACTTTGAGCCTTTGGATGTTTGTGGGTCTGGTACTTAAAGCTGAAGTTTTCTGAGCCCACCTCAAGCCACTATGAAGTAACATTCATTGCTGGAAAACCCCAATTCAAGCAACTAGATAAGCCTGCATGATGTCAAGTCCTCAGCAGTACCTTGATTCTACTATTTTGGAAGAAAGGGGCTGAATGCAGTCCTAGTCATTCCCCAGCCTGCGCCACCTGCAATCCTACCACAGATAAAACAACTGCCTAGGGCACACAGAGCCAAATTCTGCTGCGAGTGCCTGCACCCTTATCTCACGGTTGTGCCCCTGCCTCCTCTATATTGCTGCTGTACACGACTTTCAGATGGCCATATATTTCTCAAAGTTATGTTACCCGTTTGCATTGGGAGCATGGAGAACTGCTCGGAGTTCCTGCTCATTAGATCAGCTGTTTGGAGATACTCGGTCAGATCCAGTCCAGAAAAGGAATGGCCTATGGGCAGACTGCTGTCTCTGAACGTCAGTCTCACCTCTTTCTGCTCCAGCAAAGGAAGGGCATCAGTGAGCAGAGTCATCCAGAAGGAGCAAGGAGCAATATGAGCAGTCATCAGCATCAACAGCAACTTGGCAGCTTCAGAAAACCGCTTCTCGCCATATAACCGATGGAATTCCCGGTACTTCCCTGTGCGAGTGGAAGAGGGACCAGGGGCAGGGGGTGAGTAAAACACATCAGCACCTGGCAGAAACATCCCATGCCTGAGTCACAAGACACTAAGCAGGCATTTCCCCCACAAAGTTCCTGGTAGAACTGCCAGCACCTAGAAGTAGGACTGGGCCACAGTCATTGTTGGATAAAATTCTAGGATCTAGGGTCTGGAGGAGCTCAAATGCAGCAGGCACATTTCTTTCTAGGCTCAATCACAAACCGTAATATTAAAGTGCAGGGGAGCGATTCTGAATTGTCAACCTGGAGGGATGAAATGCTGTGGTCACCCGGAAGCCAGCCAAATTCTTGTTCCTAGTTGAGATTCTGGCATTATAAATCAAATGTTCTAACTGCCAGTAGCTCCCTGGGAAGTTGCATTTCAGCTCTGCTTCCTGCCTTGTTGGTTCATGAATCACCAGAAGCCACAGCTGAGCAATCTCAGGTTTATGGCAGCTGAAAGGAGGAGGAAGTTGTGGCTGTGCAAAGGAAATTGGAGGGAGCCCTTCTAACACTCGAGTTCTTGTGTTATGGGGAGCCCTCCTCACTTGTGTGAGCTTGTCAGTGTAACAGACCATCAGAAGATGGTGGAGATCTTCAGGCGACAAGCAGAACTCTCCTATACTCAATGTACTACAAGCCACTAAGCTACCTTGTATTATCTAATGTGGTTTTCCTGGTTCTGGTTGCTCGCTCCTCAAAGGAATCCCTAGGAGGTAGGGGTAGAGTGCATGGTGGAAGAATCCCAGAACACTTGGCTGCTCTGGTAGAAATGATGCACAACAGGCACCAACTGTGATGCTGGTCGAGGTACCAATAATAATTTGTTTTCCTTGCCATCCTCTAGCGGCCTTGGGATGGAGGGAACAGAGGGAATGGGGAGCTCCAAGCAGTGCTGGCAGAGTGGGCGTTCTTTCAGGAAGCATTTGGTGGCAGAAGGTTCTCACCAAGAAAGGTCAGGCGATCACTAAGCAGCATGGATGGCCCCAAGTTGTCAATGAGGTCCAGGTCTGAGAAGCTGCCCCTCTCGCAATAATCCTTCAGGAATCTAGGGAGGAAGAGGCATAAGGTCTGAGGGGAAGTCCCATACTACCTCCTGGGCTCCATTTTAGCTGTCTTCAGTTGGGCTCTGGAAGACCCATAGGAGTGGAGCGACAATGCATGCTTAATAGCCCTCTCCCCATGCTGCTTATTGTTCAGCAGCTCAGGAAGATTTTTGCTTTTGAAAGAAAAGGTGGAAGAATCCGGAAACAGCCCCGAGGCAAAGCAGCACAATCAGCTCTGCCAGGTCATAACAGCAGCTCTACTTTCCTGTGGCACAAAGGAACTGATAAGCAGCTTTTCATTTGCTCAGGCAGCGGCTTTGTTATGCTGCTCTGCTTCTTTTACCTTCTTTTAAAGCCAGAGGACTCTCCTCCCACTGGCAAACAGCAGAGATCCTTTCCCACAGAGCTCAGCCCTCAGCTGAGCCTCACCTCTGACCCAACCACACATGGGTGCTTGCCCCTCTCTCCCACCTGGCAGAGCTTAAAGCACAGGCTGACACTCTATGACTTCTCAAAGATCATACAAAGCTGCAAGCAAGCCAGGAACAAGCCCAGATCTCTTAGCCCACTGCTGGGGAGCTCGTTCTCCTTTAAAAAACAATCCCTTTCTTCACAATCCACTACTGAAGAGTTTATTCAGTATAAAACTAGGGCTTGCTACACAACTGGCCATTTTATCTGGCCACTCCTGTTATCTTTAGATTGCAAGGGGTGAGGAGGCAGGACAAAGGAAAAGGGAATGGCTAGAGAAGGATATTGTGGATGTTGCACAATCCTTGATCTCTGAAGAGAGCCAAGGATGGATTTAATTCCCTAGCACAGAAACTGTAATCAGTTGGTGTGCTAGGGGGCAGGGCTCTCTTAGGGGCAGATAATCCCAAAGAGACTTCTCAGGACAGTCTCCTCCTCCCCCCTCCTTCCTCAGCAACCGCAGTCTCTAGAATGTCCAGCTTAGTCCGGAGAGTAAAATGACCCACCTGTCTGATATGAGTGTAGCGAAAGCAGCGTCCTTGGCTCTGATGCTCCAGGACAGGGCTGAGCCCAAGCGATTGTTGTGCAGAGCTTTCATGGCCATGATTTTACAGATGCTACGAACTTTGGGACCAGGGGCAGAGAGAAAAAAAAGTCAGGATTCGGCAGTGACACCGGGGTCACTACAAGGGAAAGAATTCAGCAGTCTGTCACCTTGCTCGTGCATCTGTCTCTGCTCACAGATCCTCAGCACCTTGAGGGCTTTCTGCTCTGTGGTCAGGGGGATCCGCTCAATGTGAAGCTCTAGGTAAACCCTGCCATACTCAGAGCAGTGGTCAAAATAATCGACCCCCAGCTGCCACAGGCTACAAAAGAGGGAGGGGAGAAGGGTCAAACATCTCAGTGGCAGGAGACTGCTCTTACACAGAAAGAGCTCTTAAATATGCATGTTATTAGAGCCACAAATGGGATCTGAATCAGGACCCAAAATGACAGCACACTGCTCATCTTCTTTCTCCTGGGGTACTTCTACAGGCCCCCACCCTTTGTGTAGCTGCTGTTACCCAGAACTGCAATTCTGGACTATCCCTTTATCCCACAGGCTGCTCTGTGGGCTCAGATGCAGAACGTGAAATGCTTTATTTGTAACATCTCTGATTAGACCGAGCAAAGCACTAGCTGGGACAGGATTTTTCCCCGATGAAAGTGCTAGAAGAGACCTGCTAGTTTTCTCATGATCCTGGTAATGGAGTACACAGGAGCTTATAAAACAGCATTATCTAGGACTCCTCAAGTGGATCCCTTATCTGACCTGTCTTTCCCTTCAACATGAAGGTTTCTCTTTTGTTGCCCTGGCATCCCGGAAGAGGGAGGATTTGCTACCTGTGATGGGAGAAGAGCCCCGAGGCGTACTCCAAAAGGAGGAATTCCCGCATATTCGAGCCAAAGCTGGAACAGAAAAGCAACACTTATTTCAATCCTAGATAGTGTTTAGACTACAAAGGAGTCAATCCCATGCCTACATAGCCCAATTTGAATTCTTCATCTCCAGTTCCCTGGTCCACTGCTCTTAAACCATGTTATCTTTTCCTTGCAGCCTTTTTGTTCCCATCCTTTGTCTTTGGGTGTCTGACAGCCCAGATAGACACTTACTAGAGGTTGTGAGACTGCAGGAGCTTGCAGTGGTCTAGGAGGTCAGTCAGATGAGCCACAAACCACCAGTTGCTCAGGGCGATACTGCATTTGCAACAAGAAAAATAAAAACAATTTTAAGCCTGGAGCTGGCTAATGACACATTAAACTTATCAGGAGATATCTTCTACAGCTACAACAGCAGAGCACAGCTCTCCCCCAGCAGGTGGGCAGAAGGTTACATAGTGGCTTCATAAACCTTACATAATGGTCTCGTAATTGCTGATAGATACAGAGCTTCTTGCCGAGATTGTTAAACGGTTTAGCAGAGAGGCTCAACTATCTTTATTCTGTGCACACGTATCCACAAGCAAGTAAACTGCTCTGTCTCAAAGATGTAAGAGGTGCTAGTTTATCACCAGACTGAGGATGGACTGGTAGTCCTATAAAATCCAGAAGTTAATGTCTTAATAAAACCTGACCTGCATTCCTTAATCACTTGATGGATCTCAAACTCAAAGGCTGCCATTAGGATGGTGTCCAAAGGTTCGGGGCTGTTCTCTCCTCCCAGGAACTGATCCAGGCTTGACTGCAGAAGCCCCAAAAACAAGACAAAGTGAATGCAAAAAGCCACAAACTGTGCAGAAGAGAGGAGGAAATCAGTTACCTCATCTTAACTCAGGCCTGTTTGGACTGGGGGTAAAGCCTTCTAGGGGGAAAACAAGTCAACTGAAAGGGTCAAGCAGAATTTGCCTCCACTTTTACAGGAAAAGCTCAATCTTGTAACTCAGGAAAAAGCAGCAACTCTTGTCAGATGCAAATGGCTTGCTCCTAGATCCTGATTTCCCGCTCATTGCTTTTGCCAATCCACTTCTGGACCCCATGAGAATTCAGCCCCCTCAGAGTTGTTTGGCATACAGTGGCCTCGGACTTGCCTGGGCATAGAAGCGGAGTTCCACTGGCTTCACAGCTGGATGAGAGTACAAGAGACGGGTCACCAGGAAGTGGTACCAAGTAGTCATGAGCTCCTTCTTCTCCAGTATGGCATTCTCATCGCCCAGAAGGATCTAACAAAAGTGAGTACCCCGCTGTAACCCTTTGAATACTGCAAAGCAACAGTCACACCTTTATTACTATTCCTTCCACTAACTGAAAGCATTATTCTGAGGGATCATCTCAGCCAATGTCATCAACCCCTAATAGCCACCTTCAGCAAGGAACCCTTGAAGTTTCACAGTTAATTGGACTTCAAAGTGTGACTATGAGCTTAGTTCTACGATCAGCATTTCTGCCCATCTCATCTCACAGAGATGAGTCAAAGGAAAGGCAGGACAAATTATTTGCCTCAAGTTGCACAGGGTCTTTGACAAAAATTATTTGCCTCAAGTTGCACAGGGTCTTTGGCAAAGTCAAGAGTAGGCAGCAAGAGTCCTGCCTCCAAATTGCTTGCTTTGATCAGCAGACACTATAGCCTGCCCATGTTTTACTTATGTCCACCCAGGACTCTTAATCTCTAGGATGGCTAGTGCAATCTTCAGATCCACAACCTTGCCCATAATCCCCTTCTTTTCTAGCCAAAACACACCTTGCAGATGGATTCCATATGAGAATTAGAAGCAAAGGTTCCATCCTGCAGGTACCGCTGACATTCCTCATGCCAGTGCTGCCATTTCAGTTCCATCTCTGTCAGAGTCTGGGTGTTGCCAAGCTATATATGGGATGCACAAGCACACAAAGAAAGGAAATGAACGGTATAGTCTATAAAACTCATTTCAGCTCAACTCAGGTTTACATGGTGCAAAGCTAAACATTAGACCTTACAGTAGATGATATATGCTGCCACCGAACACTATCTGAAGCTTTTTGGTCACTAGCAATCTAAATATTAAAGTAACATACAGTAAGAGAACCCACATTAGACCCCAGTGAAGCAGCTGCAGCCTTCCCTCCACGGGAAAACCACTGCAGCAAGGAGAGACAAGAAGTGATGTCTTTAAGGGTCTTCAAGCTAATTATGCAACGCTACAGCCAGGAGGGGACAAGACTGATTACAAAAATAGCTTGATGAGCTATGATGTTATGTCAGGGAGACCCATAAAAGGTACAGATTAAACTTCAAAGTGCCACCCCCAAGGGCTGCATGCATACACCAAGAATGGGCATCTTCTTCATCAGGTCATCCAGTATTTTGCACATGCCCTTCGACGTAGGGTTGGCGGCGGCCTCTTTAGAGAGCAAGTGGCGGGCATCCTCCATCCGGCCTTGAAGCACAAAAATGTCCACCTGCAAAAGCCATCAAAGCCTGTGAGCACCAACTGGGAACAGTACAGAGAAACTGGCCATATATAGAATCAGACTGGAGGGGAATTTCAGTTGAGTTAGTGTGCGCTGTTTAAGAAAGTTAAGGGGAAACCAAAGTTTTTAAACTTCAGAATCTGTTAACTCAAATGCTCACATACAGGACAACACAATGCAGTCTCCCCTGCACTGTGCTGGGCCTAACATCTACCTTGATCTGAAATGGAAGGATCACTCTCTAGGGATGAGATGCAATGCGGTCTTCACACTTGATTCATTCAAAAGCCTCTGGGTAGACACTAGCAACTAAGCTAAAGGTCACTTTTTTCAGATGTAACCTAGCATACAATGCCTGTGGAAGAGGACACAAAGCACATAGAAACTCCTTCAGCAGACGTGTATACTCACTACATTCCAGAAGAGCTCATGTTTGGATGGATTTTCGCTGTTCAGAACTTCACGGACCATACTGTCCACGTCACACACGTGAAGTCGAACCCAGTCAAGGAGGTGAAGCAGGAGGTGACCAGCTGCAGTCAGAGAAAACATCTCTCCATTAGATTCTTGCTCTGCTGCCTGCTGTTTCCAGCTTCTAATATTAATAGGTGCATCCTGCGTTTCCTAAGAGCAAGAGATGGGGACAAGTCTGCCTATTTCTCTTGCTCATCCATATTATCATCTACCAGTCTCAAGCCCTAGAAGAAAATCCACAAATATCCAGATGATGGAAATACAGCAGACTCCAGCCAAATTAAACTCAGAATTTTACAGATTGAAAAAGAACCCTTTGTCTACTAACTTTCTCTTTCACCCTGGCAAAGTTACTGAGTAACTATAGTGGTGTCATTTGCAAAAGACAAGTGCTTGAAGACACAGAAGGATGAACATAGATAAACCTTACGCTGTCTACATGATGCACAAATTTATTAATCTGTTTATTTTAGTCCCAATCTGATTTCTCTTAGCCTGAAATGAAGAGAAAAGCTTGTACCAAGTAATGAATATGTTCTCTAGCAACTAGTGTCAACACTTTGAAAAATCTCAGTACGTGAGTGAAAAAGGAAGTCAGTTTATGCAAAGAAATATGCTTCTACAAGCCATCTGGATTGGAATCCTAGGGTCAAATTCTCTGCTGAAATTGAGCTGAAGTGAATGAAGACACACTGAAGTCACAGGAGTTGCATCAGATCATTTGGCCCCTAATGGGTAACTGATACTTAGGAAGTATATAGAGTTGCTGGTTAAGAATTTAAATAGCATTTGTATTTGAGATTTTTCCTTAATTTTTGATTGTCAGGTGAAAACAAAGTCTGTTTGATGGCACTGTAATTAATTAAGGTCAGGTAACTAGAAACAGTTCCATTTCTAGGTTAAAATACACAGGGCACAGAAAGCAGGAACTGGAAGGAAAAAGGAAAATGATCTATTAATTCAGAATTCGATGCAAGATGCAGAAAGTAATTCTTATCTCCGGCCAGAAGAAGGGGACAGGTTTGTTGTTACTTCCTGGCATTAATAGTATGATTGCTGAAGAGATGGTAAGATGTAATAATTTCTACATGCTTTTCAAAAACAAATAGGTACATGAACAAAAAAGCCCCTCTCAATATTAACATCAGTATAGGTCTATTCTCACCTGGTGCCACTTCAACAAAGAGAATCTCACAGAGATTCCAAATCAGTTCCATTGCAGAGAGAATAGAGACCTGAGGAAAAACAGGAACAGTTACCAATGTATTAATCACTCCCATGCTTCCTAGCAAAAGCAAAGACATTTGAATAACATCCTCCCTCCTTATTGCTTAAGTTTCCTTCTTGTGGGTAAAAGAAATGGTTACTGACATTTAGAGAAGATGTGAATTACAAGGAGACAATGGGTCACCATATTTTCTTTATGTAATTGGGTTAAGTTTTAAAAGTTGTTTGTAAACTGTAATAGAAAAAAAATCCTTCATTTGTGGTAAACACTGAATGGTACAGGAATTCTTTCTAACATTAATGCTCAAAGGCCTTGTACAGAAAAGCCTTAACCAAAAAGTGATTTACTCTGGTTCTGTAAAGCAACTCAGATCTGAATTTTAGAAGAGAAATACCAGTGATAAGATGCATCTACATCTAATACTTTTTGCTCTTCCTGGAAGATTGGTCTATTATTGCTGCAAGTTCACGGTCTAATTTTCAGGGATTGCTAGGAGACGCATCTGCTTATTTTGGATGTGGTATTTGAAGGGTGAAGTGAGATATTGGCTCACAGACTTTATAAAATGGTAAGATTGCCTCTCACCTGCAAAACTGGACATATACTGAGGTAATAGTGGGGGAGCCACAATTCAAAGGGGCAACTTTTCATAACTGTATAAATACATATAAATAAATGGCTCCTACAGCTTGTGTATCTGGCCATGTACAGCTGCGGGTACACAGAGCCAAATGACTAAAACAACCCAGATTCAGAACATATCACTGCCACAGTATGCTAGCCTGCGTATATTTTCTGGCAAGAGTTTACTTTCAGTTGTGACCAGGTTTCAAAAATATAAGGACTGTAAATTACCTGAGTGCTATACTGGTTGTGCAGGGCAGGATCCCGAGTTGAAACTGAGGAAGAAAAAAATAAATAGAAGTAGTCCAAACATTTGTCCAGACCTTTTAAACTGTATTTTAGACATGTCACACAGTGCTTAAAGGCTCATGAAGCAGAGTAGCACAGAAAAATAAATGACCACGAGTGATGCTATGTGCAAGAAAAAAACATGACTGGCAACAAGTATCATCATACCGCTGCAATCAGTCACAGAGAGTAGGGGCATTCCACTATTATAATGGTGCCATATTGTTGTCTGCTCTGCGGGAAAACCTGTTTCTAACCCTAAGGGTTCAGAACAGATCATAATAAAGAAACCACCTTTTTCATTCATGAAATGACAGGTGAATCAGAAGTCCAGCATTCTAAAAGGGACAGCAAGAATGACTCTTGATGCAGCTAGGTTAGAGTTGGGGTGCTAAGTTGCAAAGTATCTTGTGTGAAGAAAAATCAGCAAAACCAGAAGCAAGGTAAAAAAATAGAAAATGATCAGGTTTGCCAAGGAACTGAAAAATTTAAGAAAAGAATTGAAGAGTAGAGAAATAGAGTGGATAAGATTAAAAAGACGTAACCACAAGAGTAATCCTGCAAGTTCAATTAAAAAGTAATGCAACGATGTCTCAGCCTCTGTTCAAAAATCAGCATGGAATTTAGAGAGAAGAGCAGAACCCCCACTGACAATCAGAACAGCTTATTTTACAGTCATTTATAATAAAGAGTTGCAATAAGATTCATTGTATGGACTCAAACCTAGTCTGTTTGTTGTTAATGGAGAAAAACAACTTACTAGCCACCTGATGCATGTCCTCCATGCAGGCTCTGATGACTGACCGGTAGTTTTTACTTACTCCAACCAACCTGGCAAGAATAAAGAGGCCTTGTTTAGAGAGAGATGTATTATTGGCCATATGGCTACTGGACATTAGGATCAAGACCCTTCAAATTTTCTCTGCTCAGCCAGAAATTCACCTCCTGCACTGGAGAATCTAAATGAAGCAAGGGGAGTCCATATAGGTTCTGTCCGCACAAAATAATCTGCAGGCACAGAACCTAACTTTATAAAATATATATTGAAAAGATTAGTTACGTAAAATTACTGATCAGCAGCAGCTCTGAGAACTTGAAACTCAGAAGTTTCGTTATTGGCTTCACTGCAAACGGACTTGTGTTTGATGTACAAACAGGAGCAATACGTTAGGCCTTTTTTGTACAGCATAATTATTCATGTACCACCTCCCTTCCTAACAAGACAGCCATGTGCACCAGTCCTAAGGGGACTGATCTCCTACCCCCTTGGCCAGGGAGGAGGCAACATTCATCAGCAGTAAAGGAGACTAGGCAATAATAAAGAGGAACAACAAAACCAAAATACGTTCATTACTACATTCAGTCAACAAGAGGCAAGTAGGTATTTATGTCTGATCACTTCAGTGACTCCGAGACACTTTAACAACGAAAGGGGATGTGCAAACATGCTACCTGAATTTTGCCTCAATAAGAGGACATTCTGAATTGTCCTTTTTATGTCAAACTTATCAAGCATTTCCATCCACTCACTGTGCCTTCCTTGATTTCCCAGACAGTTCTTCCTCACTCCTCTGGAGCCCCACAAAGATGCCATGGGATTCATTGAAAAGTTTACGTAAGGTATGTAAGTATATGTCCTGATCCTTGCGAAGGACATAAATATAGGGGCAGCCAGGCCCTTTCTCCCCGTGTCCTGAAACAAATCGTGGAAAGCCATCAGTTCATAAAACAAAACGAGCGTTACCACTCTGCAGGACAGAAGCACGCTTCTAGGCTTCACAAGTTAAAACCCAGGGTTTAACTGTTTTTAAGCGACACATTAGGATTAAGAAATGAGCCAGTAACAAAAACAGCGCGAGAGGCGCAGACCGACTGGATACAATAAATATTCTGCTGGAGCCAACTCCAAGTCGGTTCCCCTGTGATCAGTGTCCGAGTCCCTGCGTTCCTACACCTGAACGCCTACGGCTGATCAACGCTGCCCGCGCTGAACTCTCCCCCTGCTCCTGCCCCGTTTGTGCTGCTGCTTCTGCCACGTGAAGGTGCAGTTTCCTTCCTTAACGGCCTCAACTCGGGGAGTCAGAGACACCCTGAAAATCTCAGCTCCTGTTAAAACAAAAACGTAACCCTTATTTCTTTCTTTATTTATGTTCAGAATAAAATGGGGGGGAGGATGGTAACCCTTATGTTGCTGAATAAGACGGAAGCGGGGGGTGTTAACCCACCTGCGCCGGGGAAGGCGGCCTCGCACACCAGCATTTCTCCGGGCCCCCACTGGAAGTGCAGCCCGCGGCCCGGCGCCACCCCCGGCACCACCTGTCAGGGAAGAACGGGGCGGTCAGGTCAGGTCAGGCCAGGCAGGTGCCCCCCGCCCCGCCCCGCCCCCCATACAGTGAGCGCCGGCTCCACGTCCAGCTCCTCCATGGCGCCGCCGCCGCGCTCCAGCCCTGCCGCCGCGCGCCCTCACAGAGGAAGGCCCCCGCCCGGCTGCCCTCCGCGTTGCCTGTCACCCTCGAGTCCGCCCCACGTTGCGGAGCCGCCGCCTTCATTAACCTCTGAGAGTAGAAAGCGCTGTGGCCAGGAGGACGGGTTTGCCGGGCCTTAACAATGAGGTTTGTTTTGGGGGGCAGGCGCGCCGAGGGCAGCCCCACGCGACGGGCTGAAGGAAGGACCCCATTGGCTCTCCGGAGACCCGAGGGCCGGGCTCGGGCTCTGGGGTCCGGGCGGCTCCATTCTGTTCTCCCCGCCCCGCAGGCTCAGCGGGGCGCGGTGCTGTGCCGGTTGTCGGGCTGCACAGCGAGGCCTCCGCAACATCGCCCTGCTGGGCCGTCGGGTGCTGCCGTGACGGCGCCGCTGCCTTTCTCTCCTGTGCTCTTCCAGGTCCCCGCTCTGCGTGGGGCGCCTCGTGGTCCGGGCCGACATGGAGAAGAGATGGAAAGAAGAAGAGACGGCCGCGAATCCGTTCTGTACGAAGCGGTGCATCGCGACGGTGAAAAGCGAGCCCGACGCGTGGGAACCGCTGGATCCCGAGTCTGCTGCGGCGCATCAAGCTCAGCCGTCGGCGCTGGATCAAAAGGAAGCCCTGCCCGATCCCGAAACTCCCCACGACTACGACATTGGGAACTACGTAGACTGTAGGCATTCGATAAGTGATGAAATTAAGTATAAACTGCTTACCCAGCCGTGGACCCCTCATCCGAGCTACGAGTTCCCGGTGTATAAAGACTCGGAGAACACGTCGCGAAAATTTAATTACTCGTGGCTGATAAATTATCCGTTCGTATCTTATAGCGAGAAATGCGCGGGCGTCTTTTGTCGTGTTTGTGTGCTGTTTGCCCCAATACAGGTAGGAGGCCAGAAACTGTCTACGCTGGTTTCTCAGCCATGCAAGAATTGGCAAAAAGTTACGACAAAATTAAAAAATCACACTACAAAAAAGTTTCATGAAGCAGCCTGTTTGGAAGCGCAAATATTCAGCGAATGTTATGAAAAAACCTATAAAATTCTCATACACACGCTGGATGAAGAAAGATGTGCCCAGGTAGAAGAAAACCGAAAGAAACTTGCACCTATCATTGAGACTGTGGTGTTTGCAGGTAAAAATGGTCTGCCACTTGGAGGGAAGGATAATGGTGAATTGGGTAAGAATGGTGAGAGTAAATCTGAAAGCATTTTCCAATCACTTCTGCGTCTCCATTGTCAAGCTGGTGACGTAACTTTACACGAACACTTACTAAATGAGCCCCAAAATGCAATATACAGTAGTGAAACCATTCAAAGGGAAATTATAGAAGCAAGCAATATCATCGTCAGAAGCAAGATGGTACGTGAAATAAATGAGTCAGGTTTCTTTGCGGTATTCCTAGATGATGAAACCACGGTCATTTCAAATGTGGAACAAATGTCTGTCTGTGTGCGATATGTCAAAGAAGATCCAGTTACAGTTTGTGAAGTTTTCCTAGGCTTTTTACCTGTTTATAACCTGACTGGTGCCAGTTTAGCAAAGGCCCTTTTGGATTTCTTGAGGGAATGTAGTCTAGATTTGACAAAATTGAGGGGGCAGGGTTATGATGGAGCCACCAAAGTGGCTGGCCACGTAAACAGTATACAGGCTCACATAAAATCTGACTTTCCCAAAGCTGCGTACAGCCATTGTGCATCTCATGCTTTGAATCTTACCATAGCAAAATCTTGCACAATACGTGGAATAGAAACTACCTTAGGCATTCTGAATGAAGCTATCGGATATTTTGAGGAATCGGCCAAACGGATGAAGTACCTGTCAGATGCTATAAATGCCATGTGCCCAAAGAGCAGGCACAAACGCTTGCAAAGTGTCTGTGTTACTAGATGGGTGGAGCGACATGACAGTATCATGGTGTTCGCTGAGCTCTATGATGCTATTATTGCAGCACTGGAAGCAATGCAGACGGATGGTGACAAAGCTGTCAGAAATAAAGCAAATTTCTACTACAAAAGCGTATGTGATTTTGAATTTATTATCAATTTGACAGTTGCTGAATTCCTCTTAGGAATCACTCTTCCACTGTCCAAGGAACTTCAGAGGGTAAATGCTGACATTGTGGAATGTTTTGACCAAGTGAAATTGGCAGTTGAGGTTTTAGAAGGTAAGAGATCTAACTCTAATGCTGAATTTGCAGAAATATTTAATATTGCCCAGTCACTTGCAATTAAACATGACATCGAGGTAAAATTGCCTCAACTTGCAGCCCGGCAGCAACACAGATGCAGTGTTCCATGTGACAGTGTTGAGGACTACTTTCGAATTAACACTTATATCCCATTTTTGGACTTCATGATTCAAGAACTGGCGCGGAGATTTACATTGCACAGCAACACTGTAACGGATCTTGGCATTCTAATACCTCTCTTTTCATGTCGGTATCCATCTGAAAAGCTTAGCCGTGTTTTAGAAACGTATGGTGAAGACTTGCCAGATAGCGGGAATATGGTTTTGGAGGAATTTCAATTGTGGAAACTCAAGTGGCAGGGCAAGAAGGAAAAAGAAGTGCCAAGCACAGCCATTGATAGTCTGACAGACTGCGACAAGGGATGGTTTCCAAACATTCATATTTTACTCAGGATTCTGTGCACGCTTCCTGTATCCGCAGCTCCAGCGAAAAGAAGTTTCTCTACTCTCCACAGAATTAAAAC